TGGCAAATACCACCACATCACCCCGATTCTTAAGATACCCATATTGTAGGTTATTTAACATTATTTTTAAGTTTTTATGTAACCGGAAGTCGCCATATTCAATTTAAAAATGGCGTCAGACATGGGTTTTCAGTCCTAATAAGTCACCCCGATTCCAAAAACCCATATTGTGGAGTATTTGACAGTATTTTCCAGTGTTTCTGTAACCGGATGTCACCATCTTGGATTTCGAAATGGGGTCAGACATGGATTCCCGGTTCTCACAGGTCACCCCGATTCCAAAAATATCCATATTGTTGTATTTTTAACGATATTTTTCTGTTTTTCTGTAACCGGAAGCCGCCATTTTGGATTTCAAAATTGCGTCAGACATAGATATCCGGTCCCTACACGACACACCGATTCTTAAGATACCAATATTATGGGTTATTTAACATTGTTTTTCTGTTTTTATGTAACCGGAAGCCACCATCTTGGATTTCAAAATGGCGTCACACATCGATTTCCAGTCCCTACACGACACTCCGATTCCAAAAATACCCATATTGTGGGGTATTTGACAGAATTTCGAAGATTTTACGTTACCGGAAGCCGCCATCTTGGATTTCAAAATGGTGTCAGACATCGATTTCCGGTCCCTACACGTCACCCTGATTCCAAAAATACCCATATTGTGGGGTATTTGACAATATTGTCAAAAACCTCTTCTTACGAAGTAAATCCCAAATAACGAGTTTTCTTTTTACGAAGTAAATCCCAAATAACGAGGTTTTTTTACGAACTAATTCGATTTACGAACCCCCGTTTTGGTTCATAAATGGAGGTTCCAGTGTACTGGGGACCACGGGATGGTCCATTAAAAGATCCGAAAGATCATTGCAAGTGTTTAATTCATGAAACTGATCCTAGAGCTCCACGGTTGTTTTGTTTTTCAAAACCACTCATAAATTAATATTAATAATAACTCAATAAGACGATGTTTTCAAATGGCTTATTGATTAAATTTTGATGTGATGAATTAAAAATAATAACTTGTAACTCCAATGAAACATCTCCAAGAAGTCAAATAATTCCGTTAAAAGTGTCTTGAAGTTATTAATTACTTAAATACCACCAAGAAATCATCCATGATAATAAATAAAAAAAAAATGTGTGCATGAGCAGTTCTACAAAAACCTGCTGCGCTAAGATCAGTTTTCTTGACCTATCCACTTTAATGGATGTTCCGAATATTCCGAAGGACCATCCAATGGACCCTGGGGTCCATTTTCCAGTCACAACTCCGAGCTCATTCGGATGAGTTGTCTATTATTTTCCAGAGGAGCGTTCATGGTCTCCAGGGTCTGTTTTCCGATCATAACTCCGAATTCATAATTATAAGACGTCTATTAGAGTTTACGAAAAAAAAAACGGAGTTCTTGGATCAGTTCCATGGATTGAGCCTTTTTACGGAAGTTTCGGATCTTTCGGAGGACCATCCACTGCACAATAGTCCCAAAGCCGTATTTAGGAAGACAAAAATGTTTGCGCCCAAACCGTCAGTTTTAGGTATATAGTGTCTTCGGGAAAGTTTCTTCATATTGTTTGGCCGATCTTTTATGTTAGTGAAATTAGGGTGGTCCACAAAATTGGAGATTTGAAAATACATACTTTTTTTTTAATTATTTGAGATAGACCAATGCAATATTCTAAAAGTTGTAGAACAATCAATTCGAAGCAATTTTGCTCAAGACACCAAATTTCTATCTCTTATGGTTCATGAGTTATGATTTTTTAAACAAGCAGAATAGAATTGCCCATGAAAAACAGATTTCTTTGAATATCTTTTCATAAGTTCATTTCTCGTAAAAACCTTGTTTTGTGGTTACATTTAAAATATATGATGACGCATATTTTTGCTGAAGCAACCAGGCTGCTATCTTTTATTTTATTATTAGAAAATTAATGAAGATTTTCTTTGAAAAAAGGTTCTATTAAAATGACAATGTCTCTAAATGGAGCAAACCGATTTTCAAACTTTCGATTTCATTTAAAAGATCGTGTTTTTTTTCAGTATTTTTGGAAAAACTGTGAGAGCGTTTTTTGTTTAAAGTATTTAATTTAATTTAAAAAAATCTATTTTTTTTATTCAAAAACTAGCCATAGCTTTTAAATAAAGGAGATTCAAATTAGTGACTTCTGCAAAAATATGTGTCATGAAAAGTTCTAAAAGTATTTAGAACAATGTTTTTACGAGAATTTAGAGTGGCCCCTAGAAAATCGGCTTTCTTTAAATATTGTTTATACGTTGATCACCAATAAAAATATTTAAAGAAAGATTTTCTAGGGGCCACTCCAACCTACTTGTTTAAAATAACCATAAGTCATGAACCATAAGAGATAAAAATGTGATGTCACGAGCAAAGTTGGTTAAAATTGATTGTTCTACAACTTTTTAAAAAAACTGCATTAGTCTATCTCAAGTAATAAAAAAAGGTTGAATTTTCAATTCAGCAATTTTAAGGACCATCCTAATTCAAATCGGCTAAAAAATACGAATAAGCTTTCCCCAAGACACCATATACCTAAAAGTGATGGTTTTGGTGCTAATATTTTTGTCTTCATAAATACGGCTTTTATGGATGTTCAGGATCTTCCTGGTGAACCATCTCGTGGTCCCAAAGGTCCATTTTCCGTCTAAGCGTTCATATTCCGGTCACAACTCCAAATTCATTCTGATAAAACGTGTATGAGTGGTTTCGCAAACTCATGGAGCTCTAGGATCAGTCTCATGAATTGACAACTTTTACGGATGTTCCGGATCTTTCGGTGGACCATCCTGTAGTTCCCAAATTCTAGTCAAAACTCCGAATTTGTAATAAGACGTTTATGAAAGGTTTAAAAAAAACATGGAGCTCTAGGATCAGTTTCATGAATTGACCACTTTTACGGATGTTCCGGATCTTCTTTTGAACCATCCTGTGGTCCCCATAGTCAATATTCAGGTCACAACTCTGAATTCATTCTGATAAGATGTGATGAGTGTTTTTGGAAAATTCACGGAGTTCTAGGATCAGTTTCATGACTTTACCACTTTTACGGATGTTGCGGATCTTCCCGTGGACCATTTTGTAATTCCCAGAGTCCATATTCCAGTCAAAACTCCGAATTAATTGTGATAAGACGTCTATGAGCGGTTTCGAAAAAAAAAATACACGGAACTCTAGGATCAGTTTCATGAATTAACCACTTTTCAGGATGTTCCGGTGAACCATCTCATGGTCCCCAGAGTACATTTTCCGAACACAACTCCGAATTTATTGTGATAAGACGTCTATGAGTGGTTTCAAAAAATCCGTGGAGCTCTAGGATCAGTTTCATGAATAGTCCCCAGGGTCAATTTTTCGGTCATAACTCCGAACTCATTCTGATAAGACGTCTATGAGTGGTTTCAAAAAATCCACGGAGCTCTAGGATCAGTTTCGTAAATTGACCACATTTACGGATGTTCCAAATCTTCCGGTGAACTATCCCGTGGTCCCCAGGGCCCATACTCCGGAAACAACTCCGAATTCATTCTGATAAGACGTTTATGAGTGGTTTCGAAAAATCCGCGGAGCTCTAGGATCAGTTTCATGAATTGGCCACTTTCACGGATATTCCGGATCTTCCACAGGATCAGACTTGTGTCCTACTGGAAACTGAATCATCCCAAAAGGTGGCCAACTTTCTGCTTAACAATTTCTCAAGAGACAACAGGAAGTTATCTCTTCAAATTGCCGTACAATCAGTGTTTGGTCCCCATTAGCTCTAATCCCATATGCTACGTGTATTCGTTAATGCCGGATCGACCGTACTATAGGAATCCAGTGGCATCAGTACTATAGGAATCCGGCAAGAACGAATCCGCACTATAGGAATCTTGACTGTTTATGGCTATGGCAATGTTTTGGAGTCATAATTAAATACATAAATATTTGTTATGTAAGCTGTTACAGAAATGCCTTTGTCCAAAATTTTCTAATTGTTTCGATCCTTCATATTTCTCAGACTTCGAGTTTTAAAATTTTTATTTCTTAATTATATTTTTATTGCATGATTTTTCAATTAATTTCCGTATGAGATCTTTAACTTCACGTAATTTAAAGTAAAATTATTACAATCAAACACCAAAAATTGGGTTGTAGATTTGTTTTGTACACTAAGGCCATCCTTAATTAAAAAAAATACCATAAACAGTTCGAAAAAGTAGTGTAAATTTCTGTTCAGTATGATGCACATAAATGGAGCGTCACATATCATATAAGTTTACATTATATATCATGTAAAGTTCTGATACATTTCATGCAATGTAGCAAATATCGCATACAAAAGCCCATTGTTGTAAACAACATTGTTTACAAGTTGCTCGGTTGCGTGAAATGAAATACAAGTTTACGTGAATGAATGTTTACATCACTATTAAAATTCAGAATTTTTATCTGTGTACACGAACGACAACCCAAATTATTGAACTATTCCACAAATAGTTTGGATGATACCCCGAACACGTTGGAGGCAAACCAGCCTCAGGCTGAAAGCCTCCTTAATAAAGATACATCAATCAATCAACCCCGAACACGTCGTTAAGCAAATTAACCATAACATTTTTATTAGGGATTACAAAAAAAATTCAAAGTTTTTATCCCCTGCCTGTCTCGCGATTCGCGAGTTTTGAGTGACGTTTGACAAGCGGACAAAAAAACGCATTCGTACAAAAATAGGAATAGCACAACATCGTTCGAACGAACGATGTTCGAAAGTTAGAATTGCTTCGAACGAAAACGGGGACAACATAAATATCCTTAAGGTGTCCATTTTACCCCCACCACCGCTACCGGTTGAAAAAAGAAATAGAAAACACCAGAAGAATTGTAAAGTGCCCACAAAATTTTATAAAATTAAAAAACTCAGACACGAATCTTATACGGCATGAATCTACAATTACAATTTATTGAGTCGCATCATTCCATCTACACCCATCAGCCCAATATACCAACACCTACAGATTGATCACTACTTAATAGTAAGCTCTAATTGCCCTCCACTCGTCGTGGGCACCCTTCAGGGGAAGTTGGATTAAAAGGGAAATCACGTATGTCCTTGGCATTCTCTCGTATCAATTACATGACATCGATCATCCGTCCATCTTCAACCCCAGACTCTCGACAGTTGCTAGTCGCCCTTTTCACGTGCTCAGACGCGGTGTGTAATGGCTCATCTCAGCAATCACCGCCGTCCAAACTAACGTGCACCACTCCCCGCTGAAAAGTCGTAAATTCACTGGCAGTGTTCATTCGCCAAACGTAGAGCTTTTCCGCTGCCAACGGGTGCCACGATCCAAATGTGCATGCAGAGTTGATCTGAAAATTACATTGACAAAATCAGTGAAAGTCGAATTGAACTGGCAGCTTTTCAGGGTACCTCTGAATCATAGTAATGACACAGACCGTTCATCCGGCTGCTGGGAATATATTCAATAATGTTGATGTAGCGACAGGCAGGCAGAAGTAGCCCTAGACCTAGAAGAAGGATTGACTCTAATAAAGTTATTCAACATAAATCTTAACCTGCATGTGCACGAACCAATGAAGCCCGATGTCGGAGGATTTCGCATGATTTTAGTATGAGTTTTATCCTGTAGAGCCATCCATGCTTGCCAGATGCTCCGTGGATCTACAAGGTGAAAATTGGACCCTGGATATTTCTCGTGATACTTTTTGAAATTTTCAAATAAGTTGAAATCTGGAGTTTTGGTCCTAAAAAGCAGTTAATTCACAATCAAAAATCACAAAATAAAATGCCAACTAAATACCACTCATTTAGACTCTGATTGAACTTCCCAGGATCCCAGGCAGCGATAGAAACATGGCGGAATAGCTTGGCAGTAAGTAGCTTAAATTCGGGCTTAGTGACTACCTGTGAGTTCACCACACGGACGGTTGTCTTCGAACCGACATCATCCTCGAAACCAGTCGTCGGGGCATGGTTGAACCGCATCACGATGTCGTGACCATCGATGAAATCACCCAATTTCGAACCCTTCAGTGATCCCGCACTGGCAATGATGGCACACGATGCATTCTTCTCTTTGAACAGCGGATCCAAAGGGAAGTAGCTACCAACTTCGTTCCAACTGAAGGGTGGATCTCGCCATGAGAGGGTTCTAACATTTGCCCGTTTCAGTCTACATAATTCGCTTTCACCGTTGTGAATCGGCTTACTGTAACGAACTTGATAGTAGTTATTTTCCTCGAATGATTCCTTCAAGACCCGTCTGAATTCCGAGAGGACCCTCGCCTTGAATACACGCGTCTTGTTGACGCACTCAGTTACGTTTTGATCCATGCAAATATACTTTGCCGGATCGAATGCAACGTTGTGATTTTTCGAAGGACGCAATTGTGGTCTGGTCCTGGGGGCATCCCGCTCGTCATTTATTACAGACGGTTTTTCCACGCCCATCTTCAGCTGACGTTCGCTGGCATTGTGTTTGAACTGGAACACGCTACGCTTATCGAGAAGGTGATTTTTGCCTACATCAGAACGATAAGAAAAGGAAATAGTTTGTTGATTCTTACGATAGGTGATGGTTCATTTCATTCAACATATCACTCTTTGTTGACTGTTACTCACCTGGCGCACGATATGACCTAGAAGAATGCGAAGTGGCGCAGAAACAAGCAACAAGTAGCAAGCAACATGTTGCATTTATAACGTCGCGCAACATCGTTCAGCGCGACGCAGGTTGGTGCCCTTGCTAATGTATTATAGCGATTATGGCATGTACACTCTAAAACAAAAAGAGATTTTTTTTATTAATGACAATCAAAACAACCTGAAAATAAATCGTAACCATAAGTCGTATCTAATTTTTGAGTCACTATTGCGGCCATTCGTTGAAATAGCAAGCTGAACAAAACGTTCATGATGATTTTTTTTTCTATGGCTTCTATGGAATAATTTTCGATCTTTTCGCGACTCAAACTTCGAAGTTTATCAACGTTTTGTGATTTTTGTGGGACTTTCATTAAAAAATAGAAAAAAAAGTTATTTGTTAGTCCAGTTTTCTAAAATCACTGGCAGAAAATTACTCACTAATTTTTTATATATGCGCCCCCTTTATTCATCGGCTTTAATTCTCATTTCGCAACCCTAATAAAAATGTTATGATTAATTTCTCTAACGACGTGTTTGGGGTATCATCCAAACCATTTGTGGAATAGTTCAATCATTTGGGTTGTTGTTCTTGTATGCTTATTTTTTTATTAAGGAATATTCACTGATAAGCAAAACAAAGTACCCACCTCATCATTTTTTGAATTTCTCTCATATATTGGGTACAAATTAAAGTAAACACACTCTAGTCTTTTTTTAAATATTATTTTCTATATTCTTTTAAAGTTTCACTTCTGAAATACTGAAAAAAAAAACAATTTGTTTTGAAAAAAGAAACAGTTACAACATAAAGTGCCCACTTCAAAAGTCGATATGTTTTCGATAAGTTTCCATCGGAAAACCCCTTGATTGTTTATGTTTTAATATTTTGACATGTTTTGAAGCAAACGGCTCGACCTGGTGCATTTGTTCAGTGATCGAATTTGATTCAGTTGAAAAAAAAAATGGAGAACGCAGTGATTTCGAAAGCAATTCCCTTGTGTATCCGAAAATTGGTGGTTCGTGATGTGCAAAACGGTGAATTGCACCGGGCTGTCGCTAGGAGGTATAGTACATCGACTGGGAAAATTCCTCTGAACCTAAAAACGTTCGGATCAGGGTGGATCTCCCTGGTAGAGGCAGGAAGCGCAAAACTGATGCGAGAACGGACACCAAGATGGGCAAAGTAAAGAAGAACCCGAAGGTAACTGTCCGCAAGATCCAGGAAACCCTTCAGCTATCAGTTTCCGATCGAACTGTTCATCGCCGTCTCGTAGCACAGGGGTTGAATAGCAAAGTTGCCCGGAAGCGCCCATTTATCAGCAAGGCAAACAAAGTCAAACGGCTTAAGTTTGCTAAGGAGCATGCTGATAAGCCCCTTGAGTTCTGGAAAATGGTTCTCTGGATGGACGAATCAAAATTGGAGCTATTTAACCGAAAACGGTGGGTTTGTTTTTGATGCAGCTCAAGTGAGGAGCTTCAGGCGGATGTGGTGCGCCTGAAGCTCCTCACTTGAGCTGCATCAAAAACAAACCCACCGTTTTCGGTTAAATAGCTCCAATTTTGATTCGTCCGTCCAGAGAACCGTTTTCCAGAACCCAAGGGGCTTATCAGCATGCTCTTTAGCAAACTTAAGCATGGAGGAGGAAATGTGATAGCCTGGGGGTGTTTTTCGTGGAATGGAGTGAAAAGCCAATTGACGAGATAACGAAGGCAGATTCCTACATCAACATCTTGCGGGAAAATGATCCAGACGGGTCTTGAAGAGAAGTTCGTATTTCAGCAGAGAAACGACCCGAAGCATACTACCAAGAAGACCAAGTCTTTCTTGCGGTATTGTCTGAAAAAAAACCACTGGAATGGCCTCCAAAAAGTCTGGACCTCAACCCAATTGAGAATTTGTGGGTGATTCTCGATGCCAGGGTTGACAAAAATAACTATTCTGAAGCCCTGAAGCGCGCCTGGGAAGAGCCTGAAGGTCAAAGGAGGACATTTTAATTATTAAAATGCTTTTCTTTTACATCAATTTATCTTTTCTTGAGCCAAAATTAAGTGGGCACTTTTTTTCGCTGTTTTATTTTTTTACTTCAACGCAAATTATTTTTTGTTTCCTTTAATTAAAACGTTTCTTTTAGTATTGCATAAGTGAAAGTTTTAAAAATATAAAAAAAGATATCAAAAGAGACTGTAGTGTGTTTACTCTAATTTGAACCAAATAAATGAGAGAAATAAAAAAAAAAGATGAGGGGGAACTTTATTTTGCCTATCAGTGTACACACAGTTTAGATTCCACTTTTAAAACAAGGGTACGGGTAATTTTGGAGGCTGTTCATTAACTACGTGGGCCGTTTTTTGGGATTCATGACCCCCTCCCCCTGCGTAGACAATTGTCCATACATTTTTTTAAATTTGTATCGGCCGTGGATAATAGCCAACCTCCCCTCCCTCTAAACTGTCTCCGTTGTTTATGAACAGCCCCTTGTTTGCTATCAGCTCAGCTCTCCATACAAAATTGACCGTGTTGAACGATGGATCAACAACCCTAGATTCTAGCAAATCAAGACTTTTCTGAAATTTATGGTGAAACTTTTCCCTTCCCGATGATGTTGTTGGTTTGTGTGGGCGACCCTCTGTAGGCGAGAAAAGGGTCTACAACGATTTATTTACAAAAAGCTTGTATGACCTTTTCACATGTGGCTCTTGAATTGGAATTGCCTAGAAGAGGTCCGAACCTGAAATGTTCCCACAGCCTTCCTGCAGTTTTCGATACTTCCTTGAAGTTCATGGAACCTCCGTTGAAATCTCTGAAATTATCTGAAGTTTCCTCAGTTTTCCAGAAGTTCTCGGAACTTCTCTTATAATTTTCCCGATAATTATGGACCATCCCTGAAGACCCTGAAAATTTCCAGAATTTTTTGCAACATTCCTGAACTTCGAGGGATGTTTCATAATTCTTGGTACTTCTTTTAAGTTCCTGCAATTAACTAATGGGAATTAATCAGAATCTTTATAATTATCTGAATCTCTGTGGACTTCCCTGAATATCTCAGAACATTGCTGAAGTTCCGGAGATTCCCTGTGATTCTTTGAACTTCTATACATTTCCTGCAATTTCCTTGAAACTAAATAAATAATACTCAGGTTCTCTGATCTTTCCTAATCTTCTCGAAGCTACCCTGAATTTCACAAAATTCTCCGAAAGTTCCGGGAACTGCCCTGGAACTGTCTTAAAAATCTTTAAACTTCTCTGGGAAAATCCGGACATCTGTAAAGTTCTTAAAATATGAATAAAGGTTTCTAAAATTTTCGGTAGAGTTGGAGGCGAACCAGCCTAAGGCTGAAAGCCTCCTAAATAAAGCTAAATAATAATATTAATTTTCGGTAGATATCTGATCTTTGCTGAAATTCGAAGATCTTCTTAATGAAGATGAAGCGACTAAAGTTTTTAAAGTTTTCCTGTTTTTTTCTCAGGACTTCTCTGATGTTTTCTTGATTTTTCTTAAGTTCTCTGGATATCTCTGAGTTTTCTCGAACAGTTGCCCTGAAACTAATGAAGCTTTCTGTAAGATATCTTAACTTCCCTACGTTTTTGCGGTTTCTTGAATTTATCGGAACTGATGTGAAGTTTCTGACACTTTTCTTAAGTTTGCAAGACCAGCGATTGAATATAAAGACGTTTTTTGATACACTCGCTCTAACGTCGTATCTCTCACATACTACAAAAGATAGAACAACATTCGAACAAAAATAAAGTTATCATCACATGACAATGTGATCAATTTTGTGTGAATCAAATCATTTCTGATCAGAAATTTTATTACTAGGACATCGTTGCTTGCTATCATCATAACTCACCCAAGCAGCTCTTACTATAAAAAAGAACTAAACTACATAATAAGTCCACATCGAGCTCTATAGCCGTGTGAATCTATTTGCTTTTTGCTGAAGGAAGTGTTACTGTTACCTAAAGCTACAACAAATTTAAACAGCACCTTCCGTGCTCAATATTACCGGCAAATTGTTATTGCTCAATTATTCCTCTTCGATCCTTGTTTGAACCCTACCCGAGGGAATCCTGCTTGGACATCGAAATGGAAAATTTCTCTTTGATCCTTCTTGGAATCTGCTCCAATGTCAATTTAGAGAAACATTCTTCTGTCCCCATGGTGCCTAATCGCAAAAGAAAAGGGGAACCTCTTGATCCAACTATTGATGAAATTTATTTGAGCAATCAATTTGATATGATCACGGTTGACGAGAATGATCCATCATCCAGGCAATATTCCATTAAAAATTCCCGGATGAATTCCTAGAACGGAAAGGTCCCCTCTATTGTGATAACCACTTCCAATTTCCATGCTCTTCTCACGGTACTTTTGAACTTCGTTAAATTCGAGTTTTCACTTCAAATTTCCGTGTATTGGCTGAAACCTTGGCCGGATTCAAACGTCTTCTCAAGTATCTTACTGATAATCAACCATAAGGACACCAAAACTGAACTTCTGTTCAACTATCTTGTGATGGAAGATTCTAAGAACTTTAAATATTCAAATTGTGGTGGAAACCACAAATCCAATTTTTGGGAACGTAAGACTCGCAAAGTGATCCTACAATCTCGTTCTTAGCGTCAGGTAGGACACGCTCCACGTTCCCGACCAGGTACGTTCTACATTCGTAGCCGTAGGTACAAACAGCTCCACTGCTTCAAATACTTCATCTTTAGTTGATGCTCACAATATTCAGCAAGTAAATGGAGCTACCTATGCTGCTACTGAAGCTGGTAAAAATTGAGACACCCAAAAGTTTTTCGAATTTCCTTGAACTTCTTGGAATTCTCAAAACTTCTTGAAATTTCGCGCAAATTGTCAGATGCTAATGGAAAGTAAAAGTTTTAAAATTTCCTATAAGTTCTGAAGCTCATGGAACTCTAAGAACTTGACTATGACTATGTTCTTTGAACATCTCTAAAGTTCATAAAAAAATTCTGAAGTTCATTGAACGGGTCTGAAGTTCTTAAAATTTTCCTGAAGTTATCGGAATTTCTCTCGCGTGTCCTCAATTTTCCGGACATTCATGGAACTGCTCTGAAGTTCTAAGAATTTTATTGAAGCTCTCAGAACTTACTTAAAGTGCTTG